GGAACTGACCCAAAGCTGTTTTTCAAATCAGTGCAATAACAAAGTAAGATGTCTGTCCTCCTGTCGGCATTTCAATTCTACTTTCTTTTTTTATTGCTGAAATGCCCTGCAGGACAGTGTCCTCGATGCAATGCAGATTTCTCTCTGGCCAAGTTGTGCGTGATGCACCATGAGAATCTGCAAAATCAGCTGCAGGTAAATTCAATAGTGGAAGGTTTTGTTTCAGCAAGAAGTGTCCACCCAAAAAAGCCTTGCCTCAAACTTAAAGAATTTCTGAATGTCTGTCCTCTGCAAACCGGAAACTTGTGACAACTTAAGAAGAAAATCAGTTCTGAAGCTACCCACGCAGTGGTAGTTTAGTCCTTATTTTACTCCAGTGACAACCTCATTTTTCAAAAATCATACCGACAATTACAGCTCTAGACAGCAGTTTCAGGAAAGAAACCATAACGTCAGTAAGCTGCAAACTAAACCCGCCCAACCTTTAAGGTGGCCCTTCTTAAACTGAGGCAGACTCGCTGTGCAATTACAAGGAGAAACCTCCTGGACACGGCTCCTGCTGCAGCCTCGTCTGGGGGAGAGGGGAGGGAGAATTTCATTCAGAGCAGAAAGCCACTCTCTCCTTTTTCAAAATCAAACACTACTATTAAATTAAAAATAAAACTATCCAATCCAAAGCAAACAAGAAAAACCCCAAAAGAAAAAGCACGGAGAAGAATGCTTGATTTATTTGGCCTATCTTGAATGCATAAGATTTCATTTGTACCTGAGTAATTAATACTGCCATTTCGGTGATGATAGTATTAGCTTTCTGTTAAGAAGTATTTCCCTCAAGGTAATGCGTGGAATTAACACTGAAAGTAATTTGCTCATTACATGGGTCAGAAATTGGCCATTAGATTAGAAACCTAATTTGGCACCTCTGTACCCCTGGGTTTTACCTTGAAGTCTGAAAATCTACAGCTTTTCTTTGGGCCAGGTTCTTCTGGTTTTTGCAGCATAGAAGTGTATTTTCTTACCCTTATTGAATAAACCACATCAAGTACAAACTCCAAAACAAAATCTAAAGCAATAAACTAGGAAAATATTTAAAACCGACACATGCAGTGAGGTTCTCTTGTTTCCAAATGAGCATGGACAAAGATGTTTACCTTCCTATTGCTTGTGATAAGAAAGTATGCATTTCTGATAAGAAAAAATGTATTTTTGTTATCAGCTTTGGATCATTTTTCACATTCAGTTAGAAAGCACAATGCTGCTGTGCAGACGTAAACCCCCTTGAAAAATGCACAGGATAAACAAGATAACAGGGATACCCTTCCGCTAACTTACTCCAAGATATTCTACTAAAATTACATGACAAAGAAACACCTGATTAGCCACATTTAGGGAGGGAAATAAAGGGTTCCTGTGACATTCCATTACTCCATGCTCTTTTCTTCCTGTTTCACTGATATGCGGTCTGCCTCTCAGATAACCTGAAGGCATTAATATGTAATATTTGCTTCACAAACATTGTCAAGCTCATTAATATAAAAACCAAACAAAACATGGTTCAGGTCAATGAAATTGGAGTCAGAATAAATGTTAAAAGTAGTTTTTCATAAGACATACTTGTAGCCAGAAACATTGGGAGATCTTAACATGTCTTAGAAAAACACCACACACAAACCCCCTTATTGTCTTTTTTAATGACAATATCATTGCTTATTAAAAAAACCAACAAGGATTAGTTGTAATAGTTAAAATGGGCTTGCTCTTTAACACCTGTATTCCCACTGACCTTGGCAAACCCCAGGCACCTGCTAGGCATGGCTAATTAATTGCATGCAACAGTTGACTCAAGTGCCTCCATTTTTTATACAAATGACTACTCTTGTGTATTTCTACATAAATTACACCAAGCAAACTATTTCCTACTTGAAAATCCTGGTCTGTTTTGTCCTCAAAGCCTCACCCTGACTGCTAGCCTCAAAAGTTATTTTTTACTTCATTCTTGCTCCTTTCCCAGCCAGGTGTAAATTGATCATTTGGCTTCTCTGTTTATTCTTCTTTAGTTTTTGCTAAAATTTTGTCCATTACGTCTCTGACCAGTGAAACACATTTCTTGGGGTCCATGCAGATGGCACCTACGCAGCTGGTGAACCCAGCAGAAAGGCAGGACCCAGGGACTGGAGATTCCAGCGTGGCACAAAACCAGGAAGCATCTTCCTTTTGTCAGCTGGCAAGTCCTCTACCAAACTCCTTTTACCCAGCTCGCGGAAGCCAGGACCTGGGGACAAGCCCTGGCTCTGCCCAGCCCTCAGTTTCTGCCTCAGCTACAGGTAGCTGTTACAAACCCATAGCCCTTTCCAGTAACGCAGGATCTCTACATCTTCCAAGGCTTCACAGGTTTATCTTCAGGAACCCCTCTGAGACTAGGCAGCATTAGCACTAGCACCGCTGTTGAAATCAGGAACAGGTATTTTAGATTATTTCTGCAGTCACAAGACCATCAGAAAAGGCAGCAGCTGAATCCAGCGCATTACCACAGCCACATGCCCACCCTCTTTTCTCGTCAGGGTCTGCATTTCGGAGCTCTGGTATAGTTTTACCGCAAAGTAAGTTCAGTCTTGCGCCAGCTGCCCAAGGTCTGCACCGACTGCCCTATGAAAAATTCACAGATCAATTAATGAGAGTGAGGGGAGAGAGGAACGGCTTGCCCCAAGATTGCCCTCGACATATCATAACTGACCCAGTGCCTTTGCAAACCCTGTAACTTCTTACAAATTTCTGTCTTTGATACAAATGTACTATAAAAAGCAAGTTCATTTCTCCCATACCCTGCGGCATTGATTTACACCCCATCCCCCCCAGCAATTGCAGCAGGAGCACCCACAGGTGCATTCACCAAACTCAGGCTGCAAACAGTTTGTGTGACTGTAGGCACCCCCAGACCCTCAGGGATGCACACGCTCTGAGCAAGTCTCATATGCCCTGACCCAGTTCACTGCTTTCTGTGTTAGGCGTTCTTTTGTTTACCAAACCTATTCAATGATGAACCAAAATTATATTGAGAACTTTTGTGAGCTGTGAATAACGGTATTTAACTCAGTCTGGGGAGGAGGAAAAAAAAAAAAATCTTCCATTTGCATACTTTAATTAAGGAATAACAGTAATTACTTGTTAGTTCAGCACTGAAAGGAGGATAATTACTACTGGTCCGTACTCATAAGGAAACATGCTCCCCGAACAAGGTCATTTCTTGTTGGTGCCTTTGCATTAATTCAGTTAGCCTCTCCCCCGTCCCCAGCCCCTGCAAACCTCCTGCTCCCTCCTGCCCCCCCCGACACACACACACAGAGGCATGGCACAACCCCAGAGCGCTCCCCAGCAAGAACGACGACAACACGGCCCTACTCTACAGCCGTGCAAGAGCAAGAAACACTCACGTTTCACCCCAACAGGCAACTGTAGTATTAGCGACAACACTGAAGGCACATGCAAAGCAACTACCTTGGCGTATCTCATGTTTTCAGCGTGCAGTCATAAACAAGTTCTGACAAAAAATGCCTACACTTCTTCTATCACTCACTTTTCTTTAACAAACACCTCCTTCCTGTAACTATATTCATGGTAATGATAAATGGTTTTCCATTATCTCTGCAGCTTTGGCTAGGCTAGAACATTAGCATACAATGAGAGATAAAGTGCTTTAAGGCAGTTTTATATTTAAATACAAAGATCCCCGAACCCTATCTAAATATAGGTGTTTATTCCTCCAAGTTGTTTACTGCACATGGCCTTTTACGGCATACTGCATGACTAAAAGCTCACAAGTCAATTTATATTCATAATTAGTATTGCTGTTGCCTTTCTCCTGGCATGAAAAAGAGCACCTCAGATGTTATCTACAAAGTCACCATTACCAGAAATTACAGGCTTCACATCCTCTGGAAGTTCAGCTACATAAAAGTGATGAGACTACAAGAAATCTTTCCTGTATTTTCCTTGAGATATTTTCATATTTCAAATAAAGCATTCACACTGTGGATACAATTAAGCAAGACTATTTAGAACAATTTCTACATTCAGCACTGCAACTGAGAAATGTAAGTGCTGTACAACTGCCTGACTAAGATTAAAATACATTCACTACAAGAATCCAAACATGATCTTAAATACACTCCCCATATCCTCTGCACTGGATATTGTTCAAGTGAAGGTCGGCAGATTTTTAGTTACTAAATTTGGCATACAAACAC